GGATCACTGGTATCTAAGTCTTCCGCTGTGTTATCTTGTACTTTGTATTGAAAGGTCGGTTCTTGTTCTGGTCTGCACGTTACAGTATGCAACATTGCCCCTGAAGTGTAATTGTGCGAGGCTGAGAGTTATATGGAACTGCTGTGAACGAAAAGTGGGACAAAAGTGGAACAACCCGGGCAAGGTTAATGGTACCGAAGATGGACATGAGAATCAGACAGCTCTCCGGTTATCTTCCACCCAGGACTCAACAATGCTTAATGAAAGTCCCGAAGATGGTAGTGTGGTAGGTGTGTGACATGTATGGACAAGAGAATCAGACAGCTAATCAATCAAGAGGTGCAATCTTTTTGCTCTTTCAATCTCCGGTTATCTTCCACCCAGGATGCAACAATGCTCAATGAAAATCCCGAAGATGGTAGTGTGGTACGTGTGTGGCATGTACAGGTCATCTGTCACACATATGCCTACCTCAGTGACAACATCGGTTGAGGCACTGTGGTATGAAGAGGGCGGGACTTGTTGCTTGCCATAGTTGTGGATTGTAAAAGAAGTGTTGAGTGGGAAGCGTGGTGTTTTGAATGAAGCTTGGGGTGGCTGTGCTTGTTTCTTGGTTGCAGGGGAAGGAGCTGTTCTTCCGGGCCTTGCTGAGCGATTGGTGATGGAGTTGAATGCGCCGTCTGATACATCAGGAGGCAAGACGAAAGGCCCTTGCACAGGGTGGTCTGAAAAGCACAAGCAATTGCAGAGTGCACTGCAGGGCTCTTTTGCGCTATCAACAATCGACCTACCACTCGCACATCGGAGATGGGCCGGTGCTTCCTTACTGGGGTGCTTACCATGGTCTTTGCTCAAAGGGATGGCGGGCACTCTTCTACCACCAGCTATGGGGGGACAAGCCCCAGACTCGTGGAGCTAGTTGGCGGTTTGGCTGCATCTGCATCTTCAAAGCAGGTTCATCGCTATACAATGATCCTTGATGGAGGTTCTTCCTCTGAAAGGACCACAGTAATCTGTGACGCACTTATCCTGTTGGACTCGGAGCTGCTGCAAGCCCGAAGACAGAAAGGGGGATTTGGTTGTCCAACCTGTGCAAAGCCAGACTTCGGCTCAATAAATGAAAGCTCTGCCTTTTTGTTGCACCAGCACTCGGAAGTTTTGCCTGATTTTGCAGCAGGCGAAAGGCGGGCGTATACTCAAGAAGAGGTACAGTTTTTCTCCGCAGCGTCTCCTCTTGAACTTCGGCGTAGCAACTCATCTAGTGCAAACATGAGTGCCTGTACCGGCATGAGCACATGCTGAAGGATGCACGGAGATGGACAATGATGAATGGGTGAGTACACTGAGTAGTCAACTTGAACGACGTAATCACCCTTTCTGGATCCATACCTACTGGTCGGTGCTTTGAACACATGAAAAGAGCCATGGTTTGTGGCATAGTTCACTTGTATATTGGTGGATTGGAGGAGTCCTGACAAACCGATTCAGAAGAGAAGTCATCGCAGTCCTCTTGCCTGTCAAGGACTCCGAACAGCCTTATCATAGGCTTGGTTGACCTTGCTCCCGCCGTCCCTGAGCCTAATTTGTTGAACTTGTCGTTTTCAAGCCTTAGAAATGCTGACCTTGACCCCCAGGGACAGCAGTCAACGGAGTCTGGCAGAGCTCGCCCTCCATCCCCCCAGGGACAGTAGTCCGCGGAGTCTGGCAGAGAGCTCGCCCTCCATCCAGTTTGTGATTTCACGGCCAATGGCAGCAAGGACCAAGGCCTCCCCATAGGGCCACTACCAGCCTCCCCTCAGGCTCTGCGTATACTGAAGGGGTGAAAGGTGGTCGTTTATAGTTTATAGTACTTTATACTTGCCTGCAAGCTCAGAGATGTCTACATGCACCAGAAACTCACCCTGGCTCTAGGCTACCAGCCGGGCTGCCTGGGTCACCTTGTTTGCCTGGGCAGCCCGGCCGTGCAAGGGCCAAACGAGGTGTAATGATCCCAGTCTGGCAGATACTCAGAAGTCGTCAAACATCAGTAGTTTCATTATCTGCATCAAAGTCTCCAGTTATCTGCATCAAAGTCTCCAGATCGTGAAGTGAAGTCTCAAACAGTATCTCTTCATCATCAAAAGAAGAGAGTGGAGGGGGATCAGACAAAGGAGAGGATGAAAGATCACACAAGAATAATCCCTTCAGACCCCTCTCCTTCTCCGGGCTTCTTCCCTCTCCACGTCAACAATGATAAATAAATAAATTCCTGCTCATACACAATAGTGCCACGTGGCACTTAAACTCATGAAGACCATGAAGACATAGCAGATTCCAGTGACGACGTCAATCTCAGGTGAGTACCCGATCTCCTTCATCCACAGATCCCGATCTTCCTCCTCCACACAACCAGTCACCTCATGTAGGCAGTGTGGACAGTGCCACGTCAGCAGTCAAGATAGGTGGCATATGCCACATCAGCAATGAAGACGAGTGGCAGCGCCACTTCAGCATGCGCTGTAAACCGGAGGCAGCGCCACATCAGCATGCAATGTAGACCGTAGGTAGCGACACATCATCATGTAAAGTAGACCAGAAGTAGCGCCACATCAGCATGCCACCTCAGCAAGCCTGGCGCACAATGCAGAAAGCGCCAGCATGCTGCCGCTACCTCGTGACGTCGTCTGCATCACCAGTGCACAGCCAGCGTTGCGCCAGCATGAAGCCAGCGCCTAGTCAAAGTCGAGCCAGCGTCAAAACAGCATAGCAAGACTGAATGCTTGACTCACTCGAGGCCAGCCTCAAGTAGCAGTTGTCGAGGCTGTCTGGCCTCGGTGCTTTTTTCACACTCGTCCAGATTGGCTCACATCTGAAGGCCCGCATTGTACAGTTGCAGACTTCTCCCTTGGACCTGATGCTGTCTGGGTACCTGCATACAAACAAGTGTGTGTGCTTGACCAGCGGCCTGGGCTAGGTACCTTTGGACTTCGACTGTTGAATGGACCGACAGTTGACTAAAGTCAACTGTCACACGCCCACGCCCTGAATTCGTGTGGGGTCTTTTCCCCCTGTTTTGGCCTGGGCTGAGGGCGGCCAAGTAGGCCCTCAGACGACCCTCAGCTTCCACGAGACATATGGCATGGGTTATTGCATTCCTAACGGCCCAGTTTTCGAGTTCCATCGCAGAAAATACATTAATTTTCACTTAACCCACGTTCATATGCAGAAACAATGTCAGGAGAAGTAGGTAGGAGTTCTTTCCTATTGACTTACCGTGAGGGCACGGGTGTGCAGCCCGTAGTTTGTTTGTTGATGTTGTTGTGGACGTGTGTGTGTGTGTTACGACACGTTACCCCATGGCAAAAAACGCCAGGAACCCCACAGCACGCTGTGGTACGACTGTTCAGGCCACAGGTTTTTAGGCTGCACCTGGTCTTATACGTAGCTTCCTTTATCAAGCACTTTCGTCCTTAACACAGCCCAGATGCCATGTGTCCCCACTTCTTTTTTGAAAAGGCCAAACATGCATTTATTCAAAGAGAGATGTCTCTGTCCTGAATGAGGATTCCAATTAGGCCATGTACACCTGTGTGAGGATCATAAAGAGGGTGGCATAGAACGAAATCAGCAGTAAGAGGACAAGTAGCCTCCTAATCAGGAAGGAGGTCGGATCTGCTTCTGGTACAACACTGCGGCGGATATCATCATTAAGCCGATTGATCTCTACACTAAGTGCCTTATTTGCTCGCATGAGCTGGTTCACATTCTGTTGTTCATTGGCTGTAATCACCCGTACATTTTCTTCGAACTCCATCAACAAGGACCGATGGTCATTATAAATACTCGTGAAGACCGAGGCTGCCCATTCCCTGATTTCATTGTATTCATTATGAGATGGGGCCTCATAATAGAAGTCAGGGCAGATCGATGGGCTATCCCCTCTTTTAATCAAAACTTCATTCAGTAATGCAATACGTTTCTCAATATCAATAATCTTCTCTAATAGGGCTGCCCGGTTATGAAGCAGGGGCTCCATAGTATCTCAAGTGTGGGTGATGATTGGAAGATCAAAGATGTCGGGTCTATAGTGTTCTCCTATACGTGCACGGATGGAGGCACGATATACTGTCAACAATTTCAAAAAATCCAAGTCGAATCGTGATTTATTCACGAATAATCATTAATCATGGAAGGGTAAGGTGCAAAATTATCATCACCGATACTTGCTTTAAAAATCATAGCAGTTCCTAATGACCAAAGCGTCATTTACCTACCGTGGGTTGCAAGTGCTCGAGGTAACTATGATAATAGCAAAGTCAGGGTATCAGCGGGATCAAAAGCATGCTGAATCAGATGGATCATACCTCAGCCCAAACATACATCCTAAGGGGGGATCAATATCTCAGATCGGTGGTTCCCTAATATAACCATTTCTCAGGGGGCTGGTGAACCCATCATAACACTAATCACTTCCTAAGCATAAGACGCATAGCAGCAGATCCTAACGAAACGCAGAGGTAGGGAGTAGATAATTTGAATCAAAGCCACGCAGTTGGATTAATCATTTCATATGTAGTTCAAGGTCGACTACAGCAGGGATTCATAACACCATTATGAGAGCAAAATCAGGGTATAAGCGCTATTAGCTTCGCAGTAGCCAGAAATATTCATAAGGCTTGACTAACCGCTAGTGATGAGTAGTTGATTACGCGTGGTGGGATTTGCTCCATATCCTACCCCCTGTACTCAGCAAGCATGAATGGCATATTCCGATCACTTATCATCCTAATTCTAGGACAAATAAAGTCGTACTCATATGGGGCGAAAATAACTATTATTATGAAGCGTGCGTGGCTGCAGTACGCACAATAGTTTGTAGTCAACATCCGTCTAGGACATCCTTACATAGGCGGCGATCATGCTGATTAGTCCATTTTTCGAGGGGCAAGGAGAGCAAGGAAGGAGGGAGGAAGAGGGAGAGACGACGAATCAGTGGTCGCGCAGTTCGTCCCATCAAAGGGGGCGAAGAAGGAGAAGGATAGAAGAGGGAAGGGAATAGGCCTAGTAACCTTCCTGGGGGAGTGTATGAGTGGATTGCCTTCGTCAATGTGCCAGACGTGAATAGTGACTTTTAAAGACACCTCTAACTATTATTACACAACCCATGTCGAGGGACTAATTAAGGGCTTGTCATAGATGGGTATCTAAATGGAAATGAATTTCTCATAAGAGAAGCATAGTCGAAGATTCTGAGATGAATTCTCTAAAAGTATCTGTCTGCTGCTGATGCAGTTCATCAACATCCATCGTGATGATAGTAATTAGTGATAGTTACTTAATCCATGATAGTTCATGGATACCCTTATGAGGGGATTATATGCGGTATTGTCCACAAGTCTATGAAGAATGCAACATCACTTGGAGTGTCGTAGATTTAGAGATAATTCAATCAGCAGAGAGAATACAATACATTGTAGCTCCAAGTCACACAGCGCGATACCCAAGTACTAAGAATAACGTGATTATGCAAGCACAGGCTACCATTAGAGGAGAACCATTCCATTCGAAGGTGGCAAAGTACCGTATGTTGGTACAATTCTTCAGCACATACCCCATTATGCCATGTAAAGAGATTTTTTTTTTTTTGCAACGCTGATGTCAATGACCACCTGATGGACTGATCCTAAACTAATAACTGCGACTGGTGTCGATGAGAAGTCTATCTAGCCGAGAGAGAAGTTATCATCACCAATTTTGCCAACCTCGAAATCATGTATTGCTGCACCAACTAGACGAGATCCTACCACAGAGGGTCCCTCTTACCATCTATACTCATAAAAGGTTGACAACGAGAGGACATGCGCGAATAGTTCAGGAAACTCCACCCTTCAGGGTACTCACTAATCTATGATAAGGGCAAACATCAACATGACAAGAGGGTACTCCGAATGACCATATGAGTAAAGAAAAGGAATATCTAAGGTCCAGGGGAATTAGAGAATTTCGTTACAGAGTTTCTCATGGAGGTCATAACAGGTAACAAAAAACGGCCACAAACGATGAACCACCTGTAGTGGATTTCTAATACCAACCACCATCTCACTAGATCCGCTTAGGAGAAATTAACCATAGGCGCCGCTGCTAAGACGTCAT